AAATTGTTTATTTTTTAATCTACATTTTTAAAAAGATCAGACATTCACTACAACATCAACAAAATTGAGCCAAATTTCAGATTCCAGCTACTACAAATGTAATTAAATTAATACATGATTTCTAGGGAAAACACTTTCAAAACTCCAGATCATGACTCTTTTTAAAAGGTTTTAAAGTAATATCTGAAAGCAGAAATTATCTTTGCAGATTTTTATTGTGAGCTTGTTCCTGCAACAAAAGCACCATCAGAAAACTCATGAATGCATTTGTGAATAAAAAGCTTAAAAAAGTTGCTGTTCCTGAAGAGGTAGAAAGAATGACTAGTACATTAAAAGTTTCTCTTTTCTTTAACAGTAAATAGCAATACATTCTTGCTTCAAATTAACTAAATGGGTTAAAGACATAATGAAATAACTTCATCAGCAATCAACCTTTTTGACATGAGCTCTGCAGCTGTCTTTGCTTGAACTGTAATTTCAGCTGGTTAACTTTTTACTGTTTCAAATAAAATAAGCATGTTTTGCCTTAAATATTATGGCCAACACACATTTGATAAGGCAGGAAAAGCTAAATCAGTAGTTGATTACAAAGATTTGCCTGGCTGAAAGAACAAACCAGAAAAGTTATTTTAAGCATGAGAATATGGAGTGTATAATATATATACTAACATTAACATAGGTGCTCAGTAATCTGTGGTACTTACACAGACATCTTTGCATGCTTTTTTCATAATCCCTTACTACCTCCTTTAAAAGATCTTCAGTGAGCAGCTCTCTTTCTTTGCCCTTCATAAGTGACTGTGGCACCATGGCGAGCATGGACCTCAGCCACTGCTGCTGGATGGGAAGCATTGGATTGCTCTGCACACACTTCTTCAAAAAGAAGTATTCTGCCTGCAAGGACAAGATATTCAGAGGCCTAATAATTACCTATGTACGTATTTTTGGGTTAGGCTTGGCAAAAGTTCTTTTTTTATTCATAATTTCTTCATTTCAAACTTTCTTAATTTCCTTAAAGGTAGAGTATTGAATTTAATCTTTTCAGTATCCACTGACTAATACCCTAAAAACTGCTTTGTGGTTGGTAGCATGGTCTCTCTGTCTTAATGTTTAAATACAGAATATTGTACTTGTTGGTATGGCATTTTCCTTGGTCCCCTGCTGAAGTTTATGACTAACAATAAGATAGTTCAAGGTTAAGGTTATTGTTTTTTGGACAAACATTTATCTGGTAAAGATTGTGGACAAACATCCTCCATAAGAGGAATGAGTCTTAGCCAAAGAAATAGGTATTTCTGCTTTTGACTGACAGCTTTTGTATAAAATCTCTACAGAATGAGTTTGCCTAACAACAGCTAGGCAAAACTGGTGTTACCTTAGCCTACTTAATATAAATATTTCAATACTAATTTGAGCTTCAACTGGCTTTCAGAGATGAAGTCTTACTTTAAAAGCTGTACACAAATTTGAAGTTTAGTGCATGTTCTTCAAATTAAGGGAATGATGTCAAAAACTCCTTTTTGTACAGGCTAAGGTACAATCTATGACCTCAACTGAAAAAAATCCTGAAGCCTGTTAGGTTTTTTTTTTCCTAAATAATGACCTTTAACTAAAGTTAAATTATTATTGATAGATGCTCTTTCTAAAACACAAAAATACTTTTCCTCTACAGGACCACAAGACAAGATTCCTATTTTGCTCCTATTCCATTTTCCCTCACTAAGATTACTTCTTCCTGTTTAACAACAATAATTCTGCATAGCATACTCAACTTCTCTTAATAGGGGCCATTCACTCTTCTGTGCCAAAAAAAGCCAATGAAAGAATTTAACTCACCCTTAGTTGGCTTTCACTGTTCATCTGTATAAAAAGAAATGGAAAATTGTTATATATGAAGAACATGCAAACAAAAATACTGGAAATATAAAATTTAGCAAATATTATTCTTAAACAAAGACTTTATTCTACAGATATACGGGCATACATTTCAATTGAATTACCTGAGTACATAAATACATTTATGAATTACTGAGGAGTAAAACAAGTATCTTCAGGTAAATTCTAAGGAAAATAAATGTCCCAATAACAAAGAACTGAATAGAAAATACTTAATAAAGAAATACTTTCTTACAGTAGAAGGCAGCTCTGCGACAGGAGGTGCAGCATTTCTCTCTTCTCTTTCATCCATGTCAATGTAATAGACTTCAAGAGCTCGATCAATTCTAAAGTAAACCACAGCATCAGAAGTGCAGAAAAACCACAAATAATGCAACGAAAATAATGCTAGCACTTTAATCAATGCAACCTATTTTTTCATGTTTATCACTAAATCTCACCCTAATTATATGAAACAAACACTGTTATTTGTCAAATATCAAATGTGTAATGTCTCTTTCACTTGAATTTCAACATGTCGTAAATTACATGAAACTCACAGTATCTGATGAATGGTCTTTTGCTCCTCCTTGCCTTTGTGGTATGCCAGCAGTTTCTTCTGTGATGGTGTCTCTTCAGATACGACTGGTGGGGGTAAAGCAGGGGGACGAAACAAAGTTCTCAAAGTGCGTTTACTGGAAGTTGCCTCATCTGAGCGCTCCATCTAAAACCATAACAAAATCCAAATTCTAGAACCCAAGCCAGTCCAGAAAGGAGTTTAACACATGCATCTATTAAGTTGAATGTATGTAAGGCATAAAATGAGGTCACCTCAGGGATCTCCACAGTTTAGGTATGACTTGTTTCAAAAAAGAGAACAATAGTTTATATGGTAAAATGGCAAAGTTCAAGAGAAAGAGTGTACATACAGAGCCTGTCATAAGAAGGAAAAAAGAGAGAGGAAGAAAGAAAGAAAAAAAAATCCAACAAATTTCAACTAAAAGATCACTCTTCTGTGGCGGCTTAATCGCCTGAGCGGGGCTATTCCAAAGACTGATGGTCGGGTTCCCCTGGAAACACGATGCACAAACTCACCACTGCTTTTCAACAG